CTTCACTCTATTGAAATATATCTACGCCTTCAGAACCACCAAAGGAGAGTCTTCCCATCCACCTACAGAATTATGCCGATACAAAACCACTCGGTCTGGTTTTCAAAAAATCTTTATCCTTTTCTCCTTGAAAAATGCTTTTTTACCACTTGCAGCACCTCAAAATATCAAAATGGCTTTAGCATGACCTTAGCTGGTAAAGGAAATTAAGAGAAGAACTAAAGGACTAGATAGTCTATAGGCAGATTACCCCTAATGGCTAAGAGACCTCTCTGCTCATACTTCCAATGTCTGCTCTATGAGCAACCACCAAGCTGGATTGCTACCTCAAGTGTAGCTTCTAAAACAAAACCCACCTAAACATAGGTTAAACCACAATTCTAAAAGATGTAAGGATCATTCTGATGCTCTTGTTTCTTCTAACAATTTTAACATACTTGCTAATTTTTAAGCAAAGCTTTAAAATTTCATTTGGATAGAATCCTCTTATAATAGTGTAAAGACAGAAAAAGATATCTTGGTTTACAATCTGTTATCTAGGAAATGTACCATTATAATTAAGTGAGAATAATACATGCCATGTTGAGAGTTTTTGAAAGTTTATTACTTAAGCTTATTTTAAAAGATACTAGAAATCAGTACATCTATAATGACAAATAGTATAATCATACAAAAAAATAAAATCAAGTGAGCATAAGTCACGACAAAGCAGGATTATTTACCTTAAAAACTACAAAAAATTTAATTCTGTCTAAAGTAGGGAGTAATTCAGATCTTCTCAACAATTAAGTGATGAGAGGTCATCACGGGGCACAGTACCAGAGAAGCCTTACTAAGAGAAGTCGGCAGTGAGGAAAAAAAGAGCCAACGGTGATTTGAATAATTCCGGGTGCAATCAGTTAAAGGGTTTATACAGACAAAGCAGGAGGAAACGTCAAAGCAGGAAGAAAAGTAAAATGTATTGAAACAGGTTTTCAGAAAGGTCCTAAATATCAGAAAGTAGTGAGACGCTCCTAAAAATTATCAAGCACAGCATGATAAAAATGTTTGACTCAGCTCTTAACAAAGAGGCAAACTAGGAATCTTTTGCAATACCTTTAAGGGTAAAGTGATGGTTATATGGGCTATGATGAGGTCACACAGAATACAAAAGAAAGGGTAGATTCAGCAACTAACCAGAGAAAGAGCAAAGAGTCAGGAGCCAAAGATATGTTACCTAGCTCCACACACTCAAAGGGCCCAGAAGTAATAGCACCTTAAAAGTAATGAGCACACCTAGCACCCATATTTTCATTTCAAAATACTATTTCCCACTAAAAGGAACCAGGGTTCCTTGCAGAAATGCCCAATTCCAAACTGGAGCGAGGGAGGTACAAGATGACACTGGAACATCTTGTGTCAGAAAGTAAGGAACTCTTCAAAAACAAAAACAAAAACAAAAAACTGATAGGGACATGTCAAAAGGACACAGGAGCCAGTTCGAAAGGTCTCTACTGGACAAATCCTGGACAATCTGGGCATCAAAATAATATGAACAGTAACAAATCATAACCTACTAAATAAAGTAGTACTCCAAGAGTCCATATTATAACTAGATAAATAAACAATAGGGGGAAAAATGTCAACTGATATAAGGAGTGATGGAGTTGGAGGTGGGGTGATTACTATTTCAAAATCACTACAATCAGGCTCAATTCAGACAAGAATCATCTGTGGATGCTAAATCGAGGGGGGTAGGATTTGATGAGGAGCAGACTATTGGCATAGTTTCAGAGCTCCCCATAGAATTCTTATGAGTTGCAAGGGTGAAAAGATTAATTATATAGTGGAAAACTGGACAACACCTGGAATGCATGATCAAAACCAACTTCAACAAGGAGGCGCTGTCAGATATCATGTGCCTCTGGCTGTGATTCCCTGAGGAGACATCACCACCTATGCGAGTACCGCAGCCAAGAATACATACCTTAATCTAATCTTAGGAAACATCAGATAAACCCAAACTGAGAAACGATCTATAAAGTAACTAGCTTCTATCTTTCAAAGTTGTCAACGTTAAGACAAAAGAAAGGCAGGGGAAGTTCCAGATTAGAGATCGGAAGTACCAGATTAGAGATTGAAAATCAAATGGAATGCATGATCCCAGACTAGAGGGAAATAGAGGACATTATTGGGACAAGGGATAAAACTGGAATGTGGACTGTATATTTCAGTATTTTATCAATGTTAAACTTAAGTGGTTTTATAAGAGAATATCCTTGTTTTTAGGAAATATATACTGAAGTATTAAGAGATCAAGGGACATGATTTATACAACCTACTCTTCGAACGGCTCAAAAAAGTTTATATACATATAAAAATATATACATATACAAATAAATTGTGTATCTGGGAAAAGGGAAGACAGGAGTTCTGTGTGTATTCTTGTAACTTTCCTGTTAAATTTGAAATTATTTCCAAGTAAAAATTTTTAAAAAACCAAAGACAAGGGAAATACTGAAACGAACTCACTGGGTTTTGCATAAGTTGTGTCTATTACAAATCAGGGCTAGAAATATAGATTTCGAAGTTATCCAAATAGCTAAAAGTTAAAGCCACAATAACTGTTGCATTCAAGGAAAAGTGTGTGTATACCACCAAGAACTTAAGAAAATCGACCGTATCTTATTAGACAGTGATGAAGGCTAATAAACTTACCGCCAGTGTTTTTCAACTCTTCGGCTAAGGGCAATTTTTTCTCCTACTTCTGTGCACACAGGATTAGTCAAAACGATTTTACCCAGATCAGCCTTGACTGCACTAACTCTTCCTCCTGTTGATAGTGATCCTATGTTCACCATGAGCACTTCATTCTTAGACAACTTTTGCACCTAAGGAAATAAATTGGGGAAAAATAAACCCCAAAATTGAGAAAATGCGTTCCAAAAATGACTGCTTAGTTTCCTATCTCCTTGCCAACAACAGAGGTCAGCAATTTTCCATCTCTGCTAACCCAATCTCACTGAGACTTTTAAAAATATCATGTGGATAATAAAAATGCCATGTCATCGTCATACGTTGACATACTTTTCCCTGTTTTGTTTCACTTTACTGCCATTTGGTTCTCGATGTTCAGGAAGTCAAATTTATTCACCTTTTTTTTCTTAGCAGTTTTTCAGCAATAAAGTATTTTTCTCTTTCACCTTTTTTTTCTTAATCCCATGTTAACTGTGAAATGAACCTCAAAACCGGTCTTAACATCACTGTCACTTTTTTTGAAAGAGGAATTACAGAAAGCACTTACCTTTGCTGCTTTCTTATCTCCTTCAGTGCGTACACCTAGAAGCCGTCTAAGCAAGAAATAGGATATTTCCAATTCTGTGAAGATCTCAGGTAAAGCTCCAACTGCACCGAGTACCTGCCCCACCATTCTGTCAGCCCGGCACAAAGTGGGGTCAATTTTTGTTCCAACTCCTGATATAAAATAAGATATATGTACATAGAATCCAATTTTTCCCCCATAAAGCTGTTTACCCCAAAACTTAGTCAAACAAGTACAGCACATGTCTATACATTTTAATACACACTTATATTTTCATAGTCACGTAACAGCTACATAGGTGTGAGAAAATACCTGTTTTTATCTGAAGAAACGGAATTGTAAACTCACAGGTTAGTTGGACATTGAGAAAAGATTCTTGATTTAAATTCTAAACAAAGGGCAAACAGAGATAATAGCCTAACTCAAAAATGAGTCTGAATATCCTTAATGAAGGTTGAAAAAATACAAAATTCATAAGTAGTCTGCAGAATATTTGCCTGCTATTTCTCCCCTGGAAAGCTGATCAAAAAGATAGTTTAAAGATTTCATATATGACTCTTGGGATCCACTTAAAAATACTTTAGCAGTGTGTCTTTCGAGGACGACAGGGAAGAAGATAGAAAGATGAAGTACAATTGGTAAAGTATGGATAATTGCTGAAGCTGGGTGGTGGCTACGCAAAAGTTATCATTAAACCATTCTCTACTTTTATGTTTGAAAAGTTCCATTAAGTTAAATTTTTAAAAACTTTTCTGGAGTTTCCTTGTTTATTAAGAAAAAAATCGTATACAGTAAATTCCTGATTATAGGATAAAGTAGAAAAATGAATTATATAGCCAAAAACTAGAGAATCAAAAGACAAAATCCTTCTTCATCAAACATTTTTTTCTTTTATCCAAAGGCTTAATACCTCTGACTAAATCTCACTGAATCCTGCCTTTTTAAGGATATCCGATAATACACTAAGTTGTAAGGGCCCAGGAAATCCATAAATTATCTAATTACTACACAATGGAAGTTATCTTCTGTTATTTCTACCTCAGTGTAAATATGATGACATGATTCAACTTACATTTGTGTGGGTAACTTTCTATTTGCAAAACATACATAAAAATCAACCTCTCTAACCCCAAAACTGTGTAGAACAACAATAAAAAGGTGCAGTTAAGTATTTTAAACACTGGGTCATGAAACTTATTGTGTTATTGCTAAAAAGGAGCTATTTTATATACTAAATCAAAATTTTTCTTTATGCTTATAATTTTTACAAACACATGAAACCAACTCATGACCTAAAATCAACAGCTTAATCATATATATATATTCCCCCATCCCATTCAATTATTCAAATATCCAATTAAAAAATCTCTATCTTTTTGGGTAATCTATTTTCCAAGAATATTCACAAATGAAAAGTGCAGGGATGAGGGGGAAATCCTTACCGATAAGACCTCCTGGAGCAGCATACTGAAGATCATTATGTTCCGCAAACAGTGATACAATTTTGGAAAAGATTGGTTTACACATGAGTTTTCCTTCACTATCTTTGGAAACAATACCAGGTCTGACTTCTATCTCCTGGCCCACCTGTAAAAATATAAATTAGTCATTAGAATTACTGTGGGGCAACAGGAAGACCACAAAACTAAAAAGGCAATCCTTTCTCTATTTCAAAGATCACTATTTAAAAAAAAAAAATGTGAAAGAGATCTTCAAAACCAGAACCATCCAACTGCCCAACTGTTTCTGAGCACCTAACACACAAACCTATCCCCATATAAAATGTGTTCCATACTCATGAGGAACCCATAGATGTCAGATACACTTATAAAACATAATAATACACAGACATCTATAACAAGCACTAGACACTATAAAAAAAAATTTTTTTCAACATGGAGTATCCATACTATTTTCCCAATTAAGACAAGAGAAAAACAAAACAAGAATGCAACGACCACTAGACTGGATGGTGAACATACAGTGGACTATACCGTTGTTGTATTATGAAGTTGTAAACCTGAAATTTATGTTATTAACCAATGTTATCTCAATTAAAACAAGAAAAACAAAACAACCAAAACCCAGTTTACCTTTAACACTCCTTTTAGAATACTACCACCAGCTACACCCCCCTTAAGGTCATCAACTTCACAGCCAGGTTTGTTGACATCAAAGGACCTAATAACTAAAAGAAAGCAAAACAAATTAAAGCCAATTCTGTTCATTTTAACTTTCAAAGAAATATTATTTTCTAAGTTAATTTTCTTCAAATAGTAGACACATAAAATTTACACCGAAGGGATGACTTTGTGACAAAATCTAACTTACTGCACTGCAGCCTTACTTATGATAGAAAAGTGGAAATAACTTAAAAGTTCATTGATAGGAGGCATATTATGGTACATCAATACTATTGGAGTATCACGCAGCTACTAAAAAAGAATGTTAGCGCTGTCTGTAATAATCTGGAATGATAACCCTCATATACTGTTAAGGATAAAAAAAAAACTAGTTACAAAAATAACATGCATATATGACCCCACTTCCACACCAGAAAAAACTAAACCAAAAAACATATGTTTACACATGATGATATGAACAAAGAGGGGTACGGGAATAATACACAACCGTTAACTTTGGTTACTTCAGGGCTAAGGGAGACAAGTGGGAGGCACCTCTTTATATGCCTCTATCAGGGACTGGTGCTCCTTTGAGTATCTAATGCCTGATGATCTGAGGTAGAGCTGAGGCGGTGATGCTAGCACTGGGGAGTGGCTGCAAATACAGATGCTTTGCTCGCTCGCCCGCTGCTCACCTCCCACTCATCTGCTGTGTGGCCCAACTCCTAACAGGCCACGGAACACTACTGGGGGTTAGGGTCCCCTGCTTTATATTATATGACTTCTATAATAAAAATTTAGTTTTAAAACTACAAAACAACTCTAGGACTATGTGACCTTCACTTAGGTCCTGAGAGCAGCGACCCTTAACAAGAGGTATGCCATCACAATCACCCAAGAGAACACTTCCCACAACTATTAGGGGGACCCCAGGTGAAGGCCCAGAGGGGATCAAATGAGTCTGTTTTGAAAAGGCTCCTACATCTCTGTGTAGGAATCACAAGCTCAGATGATCAAATTATACCAATATTGGCACTATAAACTTAAAGTGAAAGAACATGAAAGTCTTCGTTAATGGTACAAGGAAATCAATTGAATGGAAGTTCTCATATCCTGTTCCTTACTAAAATATTATAATTCCATAGAGAATACTGTATTACTCCATCCTGATCACATTCCATATATTGAGCATAAGGTTAAAAGTTACTTCTGCATTCAGGACTCTGTTTCTCATCCAGTAATGAAATCTAGTACTACCAATACAATCGCAGAATTCATTGATTACAAAAAAATTTTATGGGGATTGTGTAATTTATTAACACCTCTGCAGAAAGAGGAAATAGTAATAAACACCCTTAAGGGTGAACCATCAATGTGGAAAAGATCCCATGAAGAGTTAAAACCCCAAGAAATCAGGATATGAAATATACTTTTATAATATTAAAAAATACATTTTTATAATATTATTTAAAAAGAGTTAAAGATAGATCCTATCACTTACCAATGAGTCGGGGTTCTGAAGTAAAGTCTCTTGGGGGTACTGGAATTTTCTTTACTATGTACTCACAGACAACTTCAATATTGTATTTCAGCTGAGCAGAAATTGGAATAATAGGAGCTCCTTCTGCTACTGTACCTATATGACAAAATTCAGAATAATCAAAATTCTTCAGTTTTATAAAACTTGTTCTATACATGTTACATGAAACAATTAAGATTACTAAAATAGATGCCTAAATATCCCCACACAAATGCCTGCAACAGGTAGAAAGTGATCATCCTGTTTAGAAACATGGCTGTATTGTTTGTTTTTACTCCTGAAAATGAATATTATTCCCGTTAAGGGAAAAATGTTAAAATATATTAATAAGATATACTTAACATACTAAAATAATAAAACTGCTTAAGAAATAAAATACTAACACTCCTGGGAAAGAGCACTTTACTAGTTGAAAGATTTCTAATAACATGTAATTAACCTCCCAATAAATGTCAATATAAAATTACAGACTCTTTGCTAATCGAAGATTGCTACATATATAATGTTTGCTCTTTATTAATTATATATCAAATAGGCTGGTCGAAGAAATGGAACGTAATTAGATTTTAATCAATATGACTTATTCTTTCTCATTATGATAGAACTGGGTCCATGGGAAGTCAACCTAACAAGAAAAACAAGGCGGAGAGAGAATCAAATGTCAACAATAAGATTCATCATGTCTTCCCTGAAATGAAAAACACTACACTGTCAGAAATGGACTATAAAGATTAAATAAATGACTGTCAGTTCCAATTCTCAAAGTAGCTATTCAGTAAGACTTAAGTTTTTTTAAAAAACATTTTATTATCACTGAAGTTTTTTTTTTAATCTGATAGTTTCTAGAATACTTTGGTTCTACCTTTCAGCCAGCAAAAATATACTTTAGTCTATCAAATTCAGAAACACAGATTTCACAAGTTGCATCAAGTAGCTAACAAGTAGAAGGTAGAGAAAAATAAGGTTTAAGACCTATAAATTTAGATAATCTGGAGTTAATTTAACATCTGGTATCTGGATTGCCTCTCAAAGTGATTCATAGATGCATTAGATATTATGGCTTCTTACCTTGTACAAATGCAAGGATCTGTTCATACTGTTCTTTAGCCTGGCTTTCTTTTACCAAATCAATTTTATTTTGTAGAATCAAAATATGCTTCAGTTTCATGATTTCTATAGCAGCCAGGTGTTCAGATGTCTGAGGCTGAGGACAAGACTCATTACCAGCTAGATAATGAAGAAAAAAAAAGATGCATGAGCATCAGCTAAAAATATTTTCCAGGAAAAGCAAATCCACGAGACACAGAAAGCAGATTAAGGCTGCCAGGGGCTTGGAAAGGGTGAAACAGTGACTGCTTAATACAGCGGTCCCCAACCTTTTTGGCACCAGGGACCAGTGCTCCTATGAGAATTTAATGCCTGATGACCTAAGGTGGGGTTGAGGTGGTGATACTAGTGCTGGGGAGTGGCTGCAAATACAGATGAAGCTTCGTTCTTCCACTGTTCACTCCTACTGTGTGGCCCAGTTCCTAACAGGCCACAGATTGCTACTGGTCCGTGGCCCAGGGGTTGGAGACCCCTTAATAAGAATAGCATTTCCTTTTGAGATAATGAAGATATTCCGGAACTAGACAGTGGTGATGCTTGTACAACACTGTCAATGTACTTAATGTCACTGAATTTTACACTTTAAATAGCTAAAATGGTTAAATTTCATGTCATGTGTATTTTACCAAAAACAAACAAACAAAAAAACCTTAGTATCTAATAAAAGAATTGTTTGAACACCCTAGCTCCACTCAAGGAAAAAGTCCTAGATATTACTGCCAAGTGTCCAACTTTTGCCCCTGCTTCCCCTGTGTGTGTGTGCATTCACTGAAGTCTCCCAATCATTTGGCTTTCATTACTGGTCCTAAGCAAGAAGCTTGGAATCAGCAAGTTTGGCATCTCGGGGTCTGCCCTCAGCTTCTGCCCTCAGCTTCTGCTCAGGCATAAGGCTCTACCCAGTATTAGAGATATTCTGACTAGTATTAGAGATATGATGATCCTCCCCAAGCAGTGACGTTCAGATGTCCTGTACTATGTTTATTTGGCATATTTTTAAAAATTATATCCCATAGCAACAAAATCTCTTGACAGCTCACATAAGGAAGGTAGCACAACCCTAGCCTTGAAAACCCCAATTCAGGTCTAGACTTCAGCACTTAAATTATGAGATCTGCATCTAAACCAAAACATTATACACCAGTGTTGCAGTGGAAAGTGAGACAAAAATACATATACTTTTACATGTAAATTTAAAATGAAATTATTTCATGTGATCTAAGTGGGAAAAATGCACTATTTACTTTTTAAAATATACATTACCATAAGAATTCTCACTAGACATCAGCCTTGGGTCTATCTTGTTTTAATATTTTGTGATCGCTGGTTGGCAGCGATGTCATTCTGGATGACATGTTGGTTTCCATTTGTGTCAGACATGTTGGTTTCCATTTGTGTCACACTTAGGTAATGGATATAGCCCTTAAAGGTCTTAGTTCTCCCTTAAATATTCCATCTTGGATTTGCTCTACATTGTCCAAACCAATTCTGATGTATTTACCTATCAACAAAAGAGCTGCATCCATCACGGCTGCACCGTTCAGCATAGTAGCCATCAAAATATCGTGGCCAGGACAGTCAACAAAGGAAACATGTCTAATAATGGAAAAATAACAATCAGCGCTAAGATCAATCAATACTTTAAGATGCAACTTATAGTTTTCCTAAAATCAAATCACTTTAAATGTAGAATGTGAATATTACATATGAATATGGAATAAAAATATGGAAATAATTCTTATTGCTATAAAGTCAAGTGGCTACAGGACTTGGTGTTTCTAGACCCTGGAAATAAGATTACCTACTGGCTAAGAGTGAACACTGCACAGCATTATAAAGCAAATAAAATTAGCTATGTGTAGAAATAACTGAAGAGCCAGAAACTCTCAAATCCGATGAAAATAAATACAGTATAGAGCAGCAGTCCCCTACCTTTTTGGCACCAGGGACCAGTGCTCCTATGAGAATCTAATGCCTGATGACCTGAGATGGAGCTGAGGCGGTGATGCTAGCGCTGGGGAGTAGCTGCAAATACAAATGAAGCTTCGCTTGCTCGCCCACCCCTCACCTCCTGCTGTGTGGCCCAGTTCCTAACATACCACAGACCGGTACCGGTCCATGCCCCAGGATTTGGGGACCCCTAGTATAGAGTGTATATTGGGAATGTCATCGATTTCAAAGCCAAAAATAGTGTTAACAAAATGGGCATTGCCATCAGAAAAAATAAAGTGCCAAAAATTTCTCTAACACCTGGAAAAGCTGAACTGCCAATCTGTAGTGGAGATGGCAGCACTATTTTAACAAACCTATGCTACTCAATAAGAATCATTACTTTTAAAAAGTGTGTGCTCACACTGTCATGATCTAAAATAGGGGTCAGCAAACTATGGCCCTTAGGCCAAATCTGGCCCACTGCCATACCCACTCATGCACATACAGTCTATGCCTGCTTTCAGAACACAAGAGCAAAGCTGAGTAGCTAAAATAGAGAACTCATGGCCTGCAAAGCCATAAATATTTACTATCTGGCCCTTTATAGAAAAAGTTTGATCTCTGATCAGGGCCAAAACTAGGGTGAGGCAAGTGAAGCACTTGCCTGGGGTACAAAATTTAAGGAGGTGTCAAAAAACGAAAAAAAAAAAAATCAAGATAATTAAAATTTAAATTTAATATTTTAAAAAAACAAAATTAATGCAAAAATCCATAATAAACATCAAAATTTTAAATGAAGGAAAAAAAAAAGGATCAGTAATAATGCCATGCTGAGCCAAAAACAAGCCAGAAAGAAAAGTGATACTGAAGCAAGGGGGGAAAAAAAAATCAGTAATTTTGAGCCTATCTTTATTTAAACCAATGACATTCTATTTATCATGATTTTTTTGCATTAATTTCTAAAAACACTGTCCCAAATACTACTTAACTCCTGAGGGTTTTTTGTTTGTAGCCTCCCCCACCCCCTTAAACTCTGGGCCCAAGGCAAGGGCCTCACTTATCTCTCTTTAGTCCCAGCCCTGTTTCTGATTTAAAATTTCCTTGTGGTGCATCTCCAAACCCCATAAACATCACTAGGTGGATGTCAGTAATCCCTGATGAAGAACTAAGATATGAATCATATTCAGAAAATAGATGAATAACAACAGAAACAACACTGTTTAGAAGAAATTTAGGAAGCCTGACAAAAAGAATCTCTTAAATCCAATGAGCTGTTTCCTTCCATTCCATTCTGCTTATGTGGTACTCTTTCTTTAGAGAACTTGCATGTATCTTAAGTTTAAATACTTGACTTTTCAAATTATTGTCACTATAGACAATAAAATAATAGAAAAATGACAAAATCATTCAGCAATTAGGTTCATCGTTTAATATGTCAGTTAAATATTTCAAAAAGCACCAATCACGAGACAATACAATATGAAGTATAAAGTGTTTTTTAGCACAAAAGAGGTCACCTGACTAATTTGAAGTTCCCTTTGGTCCCCGGAATGTCTGTAGGAAACTCATCAGGTGTACTACTTCCACAGGATTTATAACATTCTGGCCGAGGACAACTTGGGTCATCAAGTTTATAAATCTAAAGATTTCAATAAAAAAAAGATTTGGACTTGTTATCCACATATTCCAATTAAAGTTTGTTTCCAGTTCCACAGTACAGAGCTCACCTTAGCATTAGCATATCCAAGCTTGATTGTAATATTTCTCTCTAGCTCATTTTTGAACCTGACAGTGTGAACTCCAGAAATAGCTTTTACAACTGTGGATTTCCCATGAGCTACATGACCAATTGTACCTACAGAGAAAGTACAAAAAATGAATTCACGTACATTCCAATTACACCAAATATTTTTTCAAGTAGTGTTAGAGTAGAAAACTCAAATCCATAACTAACTAACTATAAATATCAACATAAAACCAACAGTGACTTCAATTTTTGCTCCTACATATTCTTTTCGACTAAAACATTCTAATATGGGTTGAAGAGAACTTTCCATGTAACTGACAACCTTGTTCAAAAACCATACTCAGCATACTAAAAGCTATTCATCTTATGTTCTTAATCGCAGAAAAGGCCGCCTTCATTTAAAATAAATGCTCAACTGAAAAATACATAAATATCTTGTATATTAAGAAACTTTCCAGCATTTCCAGAGTGAAATAAATAGGTATGATGAGCCTTGACACAACCAAAAGAAATGTATGAAAATGAGAAAATCCAGGTTTAATTATGGTAATGCTGTTAAAGGTAGCATGTATCATAACTTTTTAATAGCCTGATGGTAGAGCTTTGCTTTTAATTAGGTTTTACTGTGCTGTTTGTATAGACTCTCCAAAACACAAAATTGACATTCAGTTCTAGGTAACAATTAAGTTAAAAAAAATTCTACTTAATAATAGCTTATATAGCAAATAAAACTTTCAAAAACTCTGCCCTTGCAATAACCCTGTGTGGCAAATACGGCCACATTTTTACCTCTTCCTTAAAGTGCTACGTAACTACACATCGCCTTATGCTATTAACCCTCTCATGTCTCTATCTTTTCTTCTCACCTAGTCTGTAAGGTAGACATGGGCAACGTGCTTCTCCCCCAAAATCTAGCAGGTGCTTTGCTCACAAGAGCTCAACGTCTATTTCTTGAATATCCACGTTCTCATATAATTCAGGTAATCACACAAAAGGAGAGGTTAAAATTATTTGAGATCAAGCAAGTCAAGTCTCCAAGAAGTTTTTCTTATCTTACCTATATTAATTGTGGCTTGTCTGCTGATAACTTCGTGTGAAAGTGGGGTCAATTTGGTAACATCCTGCAATCAAACATTTATTTTTAATTCGCTGTACGTAAGGCAAATCACAAATTTTCCTTTGATTTTACATTTGATCTACAGCTCGCCGCCATGTGAACAGCTCTCTTCTACTTCTAAAGCGCTTTTCCTGTATAAGCAATCTTGTATTCTGATGACTGGGAAGCCCTAAGAATCCTTCATCGTTACACGAAACTACACCTCCACTCACTGTTGGAGATGTGGAGGTCCGTGGACACCCGACTTTGACCGCAATTAGCACTGAGGACAGTGTAAACACTCCCTTCCCAGACCTTGAAAAGTGAAAACCTTACTGACATTTAACACTACTTCGAGATCCCACGATCTCACAACCCCCTGCCCAGCTCACGCACTGCCGAGGTGCCGGCGGCGGCGCCCGCGCGGCTTTGGGAGCCCAGCTCCCGAGTCGACCATGCTCCCGACAGCCCGGCACTGTCTCATCTGAACGCCTCCTGGGAGGCCCTGTCATCCCCACTCCTGAGCTCACTCCGCATCCTCCCAGAGCGAAACCTTACCAAGGTGGCAAGATCCTGGCGAGAAAGATGCGGTTGCCCCAGAGTCACTCCAGCCTCGCCTCCCGCCATCTTGCCTGAAGAGGAAGCAAGTCGCCCCTGCAACTGCCTGATCGTACGCAGGCCCTCTAGTGCGAAGGAGGCGGGGAGGAGCGAAGGCGGGTAGGCCGACTGGGGCCCAGGCCTGGGAAAGGAAGGTGACCGCTGCAGCAGGGTCTCGCTGCTTGCACTTCTTTCCGCTTGGATTCATATAGTACCTGCCAGCAGGCTGACTGGAAAACACGAGGTAAAGTTTCGGGATCTATTCGTCGCAGACATATTGGTTATTCGCGCAGGCAGCGCTGAGGTCAGCCCTGTAAAAGGCCCCTTGCTAGGCGGGTGAAACTAACGTCGCGCGCGCTGGCGAAGGAGAAGTCATTTCCGTTTCTCGTGGGGATGGCCGGAAGGGTTTCCCGGAACCTGGGAATGTTACTCTGAGTGTGAGAACCGGCAGTGGGAACCTCCTTCTTTGCTGAGTTCTCTAATTTAATAAGCCGAAGTCGGCTCGGGTCCGGCCCACCTGTGACGAGGCTCTTGGTCGGGAGGGGGCCACGCCCTGAGCAGGCCATGCTTGCGGCGGCTCGCGCCACCTGGCGAGCGGCGGAGAGGGCGCCCTCGCGCGGAGGTTCGGCGGCCCAGGGATGGCAAAAGCAAAGTCTAACTTGTTCTGGGAGAGGAGAGGTTTCTAGAGCCTGGGAGGTGATCCTTGGTGGCGGTAGAGTGCACACAAAATGGAGTTAACTTAGGATAGAAACTAGGTGTCGTTTAGAGCGGCCAAAGAGGTTTTTTAAAAAGCTGACCCAAGGGAACCCGCTTCTTTAATGGAAACATTACCAATAAATCGGTATTTTAAAACTTAAATGTGTTGAGACTTTCTTAACCTTTTTCATCGAGTGTTAAAAAGAATTCGAGGGAGTTTTGTTTCTCCCCATTCATTTATATGCTTTACAAATTTTCTGTCATGAACAGGTAATCGTTTCTAGTCAGAAAAAGTTAAGAAGAGGTGAATAAGAATTTAGGAATTTAGGTTACCTGTGTTCATTGAATACTTAAGTAAAATTAAAAATGTTTTCTATCATAAATTTTAGGTACAACAGTATACCTAAAATAGGAAGTTATGTTTCAATAAATGCATTAATTGGTTATGTAATGGTAGAAACTACAATATATTGTATTTGGGTGGAGGCATTTCTAAATTTAGGAACTTAAAGTTTATAAATTTAGAATTTATTTTTCATTGTAAATAATTGTACCAGTCAACTCATAAAACCCAATGAGGTGATAAGAATGTGGAATTAGTGGTAATGGTTGCACAACTTTGTAAATATACTAAAAACCCGTGAATTGTGCAGCTTAAAAGGGTAGGTCTTATGGTATGTGAATTATATCTCAATATAAAAGTCATTGTTAATAAATAGAACAATATGCTTCACTGTCAGAAACTTTTGGCAATAGAAACGTCACAAGAAATAATAATAGTAGTTAAACATTGGCACCAACTTAACAAGTATTGACTTTATTTAATCTTTACAACAATCTGATGAGGTATATATTATGATTACCATTTTACAGGTGAAGAAACAGTCCTAAAAAATTGAATAGCATATCCACGATAAGTAGCACAGCTAGAATTCATAGTTAATAACAAGTATGCTTTTTAAAAAAAAAAATCGGTTTATTGAAGTAAAATTTGCATACCATAAAATTCACCCATTGTAAGTGTACAATTAAGTGATTTTTAGTGAGTTTACAGAGTTGTGCAATCATCACCACAATCCAGATTTTGAATATTTCTATCACCCCCAAAGAGATCCCAAGGTGTCCATTTACAGTTTCTTTCTGTGTCCCCAGGCAACCACTAATGGTCTGTCTCCATAGATTTGCCTTTTCTGGACATTTTATATAAATGGGCTCATACATATATGGTCTTTTGATTCTGGCTTCTTTCACTTAGCATAATGGTTTTGAGGTTTATCCATGTTGTAGCTTCTATCCATAGTTGTTTATTCCTCTATTGCTGAATATAATTCCACTGTATGGACTTACCACATTTTGTTGATCCATTCACCAGTTGATAGATATTTGGATTGTTTCCACTTTTTGGCTATTGTGAATACTAGTGCTATAAACATTTGTATACACATTTTTGTTATTTGTGAATAATGCTGCTGTGAACATTTGTGTACAAGTTTTTATAAAAACATGTTTTCATTTCTTTTGGTAAATATCTAGTTGTGCAATTGCTGAGTCCCATGGTAAATGCATGTTTATATTTAACTTTTTTAATTGAATTTTTATAAAAATTTATTTGAGCCAAACAGAGGGTAAGTCTAGAAGCGAGATCTCAATAGACTGAGGAAATGCTTCCTATGTTAACCTTTTGAGGAACAAACTTTTCCAAAGTGGCTGCAGTATTTTACATTTCCACCAACAATGCATAAGGGCTGCAGTTTCTCCACATCTTCACCAACTAGATATCACACTATCACCATATCACAGCTTGATTTTTTTTTTATTATAGACATTCTAGTAGATGTGGTTTAAATTTGCATTTCTTTAATGACAAATGATATTGAGCATCTTTTTATGTACGTATTAGCCATTAGTATCTCTTCTTTGGTAAAATATCTATTCAAACCCATTTTAAATTGGGTTGTTTTGAGTTGCAAGAGTTTTAGAATATTCTGGACACAAGTCTATCAGATACATGATTTGCAAATGTTTTCTCCCAGTCTGTAGCTTGTCTTTTCCTTTTCTTAATGGTGTTTTTGAAGAGCAAAAGTTTTTAGTGTTGATGAAGTCCAATTTATTTATTTTTATGAATCATGCTTTTGGTATATTTAAGAACACTTTATCTAACCCAAGGTCACAAAGATTTACTCCTGTTTTCTTCTTAAAGGTTTATAGTTTTAGCTCTTATATTTAGGCCTATGATCTATTTTGAGTTAATTTTTGTGTATAGTGTGAAGTAGGGTTTAACTCCATCCTTTCGTGTGTGCATATTTAATTGATCCACCAGTATTTGTTGAAAAGAATCCTCTCCCTATTGAATTGCCTTGTCACCTTTCTTAAAAATAAATTGACCATAAATTGGTCATAAGAGCGTTTATTTCTGGACCCCGTTCCATTGATCTATATCTCTATCCTTATGCCAGTACCACAGTGTCTTGATTTCTGTAGTTTAATGGTACATTTGAAATAGGAAAGCGTAAGTTCTTTAACTACATTCTTTTATTCTTTTTCAAAATTGTGTTGGCTCTTCTAAAGTCTCATTTCCATACAAATTTTAGGATCAGCTTGTCAATTTCTTCCTAAAAGCCTGCTGGGTTTTTGCTAGGGGTTGTTTTGAATCTGTAGATCAATTTCAGGAGAATCACCAACTTGATGTTGAGATTTCCAATCCCAGAGGGCCATTCTGCCTTACCTGTGCTTAGCATTCCAACACCCACAGAAGACAGTGCTGCTCTTTTCCCAGTTCTCTGGACAGCTTGAAGCTCACCGGTCCTTGCAGCCAGGTCTGGTCCCCTGCTGTTCACGTGTGCTTCCCTTGCTTCCACTTCAGCTACCCAGCCCCGAGCTTAGGCGGCCAGAACTGACTTACCTAAAGTCCCTCTCTGCCCTGAATCAGGACAAAGACATTTTGTCCTGAGAGCGATGCGATCACTGTTTTTTTTTTTTTTTAAGAACTTAGTTTTAGAACTAATAAATAACTTCAGAGCCTAGATTCAATCCCGTCTCTATCCTTAACCACAGTCCCCAAACCCTAAAGCTGTGTTTCTGGCAACAGTAATTACTGGAGGCTTTTTTTTCACT